GTCTCGAAACATTTCCACATATCCAGAAAAAACAGTAACAGAACACTCCCCCAGAGATGCAGCAATCTCCGCCTCCAGGTTGTGTGCAAATGCAGAGAAACTGGAAGAGTGTCCCCGCCTATTGCCCCAAATGAACGGACTCCCATGCTGGACAATCCATGTTCTGGAAATCGGGCGCCTTGCACGCGCCCACAAACGTACTAAGCTCTCTACTAAGGTGATCAGCCGAGTGCCTCCAGCAGGCTTGGCAAGCCTAACCATCTCATTGACTACTCTCTGAGTCGGCCAGTACAGCATCCGCTCGCATGTGTGGTACAGTGTGCAGAGCGCCAACAAGCCAGCGTCAGAGAGGACATAGAAGGCACGAGGATGCAGCCTCGTCGGCCCAGTGGCCGTCGTCCACTTGAACGTGAGGGCCGCCTTGGACAGGTCTTCAGGCCGAAGAGGAGGAAGGTTATCCCATGAATGCGCATCACTAGGCAGTACTGGCTCACCCTGACCGTGACAAGACCATGCCTCATGCCAGACATCCATTTCCCTGTCGGCCATCTGGTACGGCTGCATTCTGTCGGTGTGCGCCACTGCTGCCTCAGGCGCCTTGACCTTGGAAGTACGATGCGCAGGGCCCGCGCCATTCTTGAACGCCGTGTCGATCCAAGACTTCCAGCTAGCCTCCACCTTCTTCTTATGTACCTGGTGGAGTTCATCTGCATGCTCGACGATCCGGTAGATCTGCTGCTCGAAGTCGTCCCTTCCAAGCAAGGCAATGCCATCCAGGAAAAAGTTCTGAGTCTCCTCATCCAGGTGATTCATCATGTGGTTCTGCTGCCCCACTATCTTAAGCAAGAAGCGATCTGTGTCCACCAGCGAACGAGCCAATCTATCAATGGGATTCCGACTCGCTGGTTCTCGCCGCTTCCAGGATTGCGTTCTGCCAGGATTCCTTGGACCCTCCCGTGGCATCGAGGCCGACGCAGTAGCCGCGGTCGCCGAAGTAGTACCCGTAGGCCCTCTACCAGGGGCAGACGCAGCACAGGCCGAAGACGCAGAACGCGGCGCCATCGACCCTCCAGCGATTCCACCGCACGGGGTCACTAAGCTGAGAGCCGCCTCAGCCCTTTCGGGCACCCGCGGATCAGCATAGGACACGCACCGCGGGGCAGTCTCGTCCTTCATAGGGCGAAGGCAGCATGACCCACTCGTAGATGCCCTCTGTGATCTCGTAGAGACAGGTGCTTGTACGGCATGTATGTCACCTGCTACACGTTGTTTGCAAGGTAGAGGTGCACAATCGCTCGCCTTCGAACGGTTCCTTCTGCTGGTGACCATCGTCCAATTTTCATCTGCTTCATCTCTCATGGGAGCTGCGGCAGCAGGTGCCATGGAAGGCTGTCGGCTGGACCAGGGCGAACTGTAGTCAGGAAGGTGAAACTCACCCGCCCGCCGATCATCACGTACAGCTTCCTGCGCCAACTTGATCCAGAAGGCTCGCGCTCTCATGGGATGTTTCGCCCATCTGGCTGCGGCCTGCCAGGCTGAGGCTTTCGGCCCAAGAGCTCCAGCCTCCCTCTTGGGGGCCCAGTGTGCTTCAACAAACTTGGTGGCTCTTGGGCCCGCTCTGCCCCATAATGGAGCCGCATCATCGTCGACGACGTCATATCTGTTGAGAATCTCAAATTCCACTCCAGTAATAACTGCGTCCCAAGCAATCCTTAGCGTGTCGTCATCATTTGCGCGTAGAATGGTGTCCATCACGTGATCCCAATTCATAGGAAATCGCGAACAACCTTGCTTGGGTAGCTTTGGCAACTGCTTGGGCTCAACAGGGACCCTCAGCCAGATTTGCTTGGGCACTGCTCGGATCGAAAGCGCCGCTGGAGCATGCGTGGGTAGCCCTGCTGCAGCCAACACATCTGGTGGCTCAACGAAGGCAGCCAGATTGGAGTGGACCAGGAAGTAATCGTACATCTTGCCCTCGACGGAGTTGGTGGTGCGACAGGTGACTTGCGCAGGTGCCATCGTCGACGCATTAGTCTGGGCCACCCACTCCTGTGAACCAATCAAGCTCGCACCCATATTAAAGTCACCTCCAATGACCCATGGCCGATTGGCGGCGTTAAGGCGGCCCACGTACTGCGCCACCTTGTGGAGAATCATAAGGTTGTAGTCATTCAAGTCTACCGAGTCCTGCAAGTAGAGGGAGATGACAACCAACCCGCTCTTCAGGCCCCAATTGACCTGCGCTGCCACCGCCCTAGACGGCACAATCTCAGGGTCCTCGAGCAGAGGTGGCGCCGTGATCGTGATATAGCTCGGCGTAATCACTGCAACCCCAGCTGAAAGCCCATCAGCTGTCGTGCGCTTGGCTGCCGAGAAAATGCAGTGGTAGCCCATGCACTTGAGCTTGTACTGCGAACTAGGCAGCATCAGGCCATCTGGCTTGTGCTCTTGAACCAGCATCACCGCATCAGTGGCCTGCTCCACATAACGTAGCAGAGGGCCAGCTGCATCAGAATTGACAGTGACAATCTGCCCCTTGATCTTAGAATCAGAATTCGTCATCTTGACCAGAAAAGTAAACATCATCATGGCGTGGAATAGCCTCCTAGGCCTAGTAGGCCTGGAAGCCTGGCCCCTTTCTCTGCTTGGCATGCTGTTCCAGCTTGCAGAGTCGGTTGGCTGCATCCCGCATCTCCTCCAAGGTCGTGGGCACCTCCTGGCCCGCCTCAGACAGGTAAGGCCGCGGGACCTCTTCGGTTGCTTCCTTGATAGGCACCAGAGGAGCATCATCATCAGCAAGAGAATCATGGTCCAGTAGCTCTGGACGCGCCTCATGGCTAGGCGCACCCACAGGTTGCATCCGAGCATTCGTGAGGATTTGCGGCAGCGCCTGAGCCACGCCCTGCGCAATGGCGTCAGTCCTGTCACCAGCCCCGAGGGCGCGAAAGACCTCGCCCAACTTGGTGGTATCGAGGCCCAGAGCTTGAACAGGTTGCCCAGGCTCCCCATCTTCATTAGGTGCAGGTGGGACATAACTCTGGCGCGCCAAGTCCGCGTGCTGGGTTTGGAGCTCGAGCAGCTTGGCCTTCTTGTCCAGCACCTTCTGCTCTGCCTGCGCCAGCACATCCTGGAGCTCCTTGATGACCGCCTTCTGGTCCTCAACGTCCTTCTCCGCTTTGGCAATTTGCTTGCCCATCGCTTCAATCTGCTTGCCAACCACGAACATGCGTGAGGCGGCAGGCTTGTGCTTGTTAATCTCTCCCTGGAGCTCGCTGCGTTCGTTGGTGAGCGCCTCCTTGAGTACGTCCCAGGCTGCACCCACTCCTTTGCTGGCCACAGCGACCTCCTTGTCCAACTCCAAAATACGTGCCCGGAACTTGCCTTCATCGAAGTCATTTCCCATAGCCTTTGGCTCCGACACATCCATAGCATCAGGCGCTGGCACGTTCTTGGCCTGGACTTGCTTCTCCAGCTTGGCGATAGTCTCCTGCGCCAGGCGCAGCTGCTTGGCCACTTCCCACGGTGCCGATCCTGTGCTGGTAGCTTTTTTGCCACCTCCCTTGAGACCACCAGCGTGCACGCTCGGGTCGGTGGCGGACTGCTTGTAGGCCTTGAAACAACTGCTTTTGGGACGCTTGCACGAGAAGCATGTCGTTCTGTCGGCCTTATTGAAGAATGGTTCGCCCGTGCGCTCGTGGATGCAGGTCTTGCACAGCCAAGTCTTGTCGGCGACTGGGCGTGGTACCATCCTGTCCCCACAACGCACACAAGGAACACATGTACAATAAACGGGGCAGTGAGGCCCCGAGTATGCTGGAATGCTGGCCGCGGTCTAGCGGTATCCTTTTGGCCTGGAGGCTGACAGCCCCCCAAGCAAAACATCTTGAGCCAAAATGGCTACGGAGGAGGAGGAGGAGGAGGAGGAGGAGGAGGGAGGAGAGGAGGAGAGAAGTGAGGAGGAGAATTGAGGCGGAAGGGGGAGGAGGAGGAGGAGGAGGAGGATGAGAAGGAAGAGGAGGAGTTAGAGGAGGAGGAGGAGGAGGAGGAGCGGGGGAGGAGAAGAAGAGAAGGGCAGAGGATGAGAAAAGGATAGAGAAAAGGATAGAGAAGGGTAGAGGAGGAAGATGAGGAGGATGACTAGGATGAGGAGGATGACGATGAGGAAAACGAGGAGGAGTAGGAGGAGGAGGAGGAGAAGTAGGACGAGCGAGGACGAGGAGGAGGAAGAGGAGGACAAAAGCGACGAGGAAGAGGAGAATGATGAGGCTGGAGAGAGGAGGCTGGATGGGGGAAGAGGAGGAGATGACGGGAGATGACGGCGAGAGGCATCCGACGGGGGCCCGACAGACGCTCGCGATGCCCAGGAAGAGGAGAGGGAGGAGGAAGAAGAGGAGGGAGGAGGGAGGAGGAGGGAGGAAGGAGGATGGAGGAAGGAGGGGAGAAGGGTAGTGTACAGAAGAGGATAAAGCAGGAGGGAGGAGGGATCAAGAGAGGAGGGCAGAGGATGGGATAGAAGCTGAAAGGAGGAAGGGGAGGAGGCTGAAGAGAAGGGCAGAACAACCGTGGGGCGAGCGAGAGCGGTGGAGGCGCCAGACCAGGAGGAACAAGAGCAGGAGGAGGGGGGGGGTCGGAGACTCCGAAGGCTGTGGCTCGCAAAGGTTTGGGTTTGCAGCCGGCACGCTGGGGGGCACCCTGGAGGGGCGGGCGCGGGGACCTCGATAGAGTTCTCCGCCGCGCCCCGAGAAGACCTGGCGACAACAGTGCCGTGACCCCCAGGCCACAACGGCGCCGACCGCAAACCACACCCCGGCGTAACCACACACTTTGTAATCGCAGAAGGGGGGGTATGAGGATACGCTGTCCGGACGATCGGGACGACGACGTGGAGGACGATCGGGAGGACGATCGGGAGGACTGAAAGACGATAACGAACATAACGATGGTAAGGGCGATGGAGGAGAAGGATGACGATGAGGATCAACACGTCCGATCGCGCCTTTTCCCTCTCCGCCTCGACTCCCTCCTGGCCACGACAGTCCAAGAGCAGCTGTCTCTGCAGCCCCTGGACGAACGCCCTGCTCTTGAGGGTCTGGCTCTTCACCTCTAGCAGCATCGCCACCGCTGGTGATGCAGAGGAAGAAAAGACTACATTAACATAGTTTTCGGAGGTCCGCGCGAATATCTTGAATCGGCGCTGGACCCCCGTCCCTGGAGCCTGGAGCGCGCCAGGGGCGGCGCTGGAGGCGCCGCTATGGGGGGCCCAGCGCCGATCCAAGAAATTCGCGCGAAGCTCCGAAAATGCACGTTTACGCAATTGTTTCTTCTTCGATGGGTGGGCCAACCCCGTCAGCCCGCCACACAGTGCACCGACGGCCCCACCAGCGGAGGAGAAGGCTGGCTCGACCTCGCTGGAGGCGCCCGCCACCTGCGACCCGACGCGGCGCCCGGCGCCCAACTGCCACTCGGCAGCCTGGAGCTCCGCGTTCAGGGCCTGCGCCTCCGCCAGCCGGCCAGCCTCCAGCTCGCGCTCGTGGCGCTCGGCGCCGAGATGCCGCCTGGCGGCCCGGAGCTCCGAGCTCAGGGCCTGCGCGTGCTCCGCCAGCCAGCTGGTCTCGAGCTCGCGCTCGTGGCGCTCGGCGTCGAGCTGAAGCTTGGCGGCCTGGAGCTCCGAGCTCAGGGCCTGCGCCTTCGCCGGCTGGCTGGCCTCCAGTTCGAGGCGCTCAACGTCGGCCTGATGGTGGTTGCAATCCCGGAGCTTCTCTGCCAGCTGGCCAGCCTCGAGCTCGCGACGCTCGTGGCGCTCGGCGTCGACCTGCAGCTTGGTAGCCTGTAGCTCCGCACTCAAGGCCTGCACCTGCTCCGCTAGCCGGCTGGCCTCCAGTTCCTGCTCGTGTCGCTCGGCGTCGGTCTGGCTTCTTGCGGCCTGGAGTTCTGCATGCAGGGCCTGCGCGTCTGTCAGCAGGCCAGCCTCGAGCTCGCGACGCTCGTGACACTCGGCATCGACCTGCTGCTTGGCAGCCTGTAGCTCCGAGCTCAAGGCCTGCACCAGCTCCGACAGCCGGCTGGCCTCCAATTCCTGCTCGTGTCGCTCGGCGTCGGTCTGACTTCTTGCGGCCTGGAGTTCCGCATGCAGGGCCTGCTCGTCTGTCAGCCGGCCAGCCTCGAGCTCACGACGCTCGTGGCATTCGGCGTCGACCTGCTGCTTGGCAGTTTCTAGCTCCGAACTCAGAGCCTGCACCTGCTCCGCCAGCCGGCTGGCCTCCAGTTCCTGCTCGTGTCGCTCGGCGTCGGTCTGGCTTCTTGCTTCCTGGAGTTCTGAACGCAGGGCCTGCGCGTCTGTCAGCTGTCCAGCCTCGAGCTCGCGATGCTCGTGGCGCTCGGCGTCGACCTGCTGCCTGGCAGCTTGTAACTCCGAACTCAAGGCCTGCAACTGCTCCGCCAGCTGGCTGGCCTCCAATTCCTGCTGGTGTCGCTCGTCGTCGGTCTGGTATCTTGCCTCCTGAAGTTCCGCATGAAGGGCCTGCGTCTCTGTCAGCCGGCAGGCCTCGAGCTCGCGACGCTCGTGGCACTCGGCGACGACCTGCTGCTTGGCAGCCTGTAGCTCCGCACTCAGGGCCTGCACCTGCTCCGCTAGCCGGCTGGCCTCCAATTCCTGCTCGTGTCGCTCGGCGTCGGTCTGACTTCTTGCGGCCTGGAGTTCCGCATGCAGGGCCTGCGCGTCTGTCAACTGACGAGCCTCGAGCTTGCGACGCTCGTGGCACTCGGCGTCGACCTGCAGCTTGGTAGCCTGTAGCTCCGCACTCAAGGCCTGCACCTGCTCCGCCAGTTGGCTGGCCTCCAATTCCTGCTCGTGTCGCCTGGCGTCGGTCTGGCATTTTGCGGCCTGGAGTTCCGCATGCAGGGCCTGCGCGTCTGTCAGCCGGCCAGCCTCGAGCTCACGACGCTCGTGGCACTCGGCGTCGACCTGCTGCTTGGCAGCCTGTAGCTCCGCACTCAAAGCCTGCACCTGCTCCGCCAGTTGGCTGGCCTCCAGTTCCTGCTCGTGTCGCTCGGCGTCGATCTGGCTTCTTGCTTCCTGGAGTTCCGCATGCAGGGCCTGCGCGTCTGTCAGCCGGCCAGCCTCGAGCTCGCGACGCTCGTGACACTCGGCGTCGACCTGCAGCTTGGCAGCTTCTAGCTCCGAATTCAAGGCCTGCACCTGCTCTGCCAGCTGGCTGGCCTCCAGTTCCTGCTCGTGTCGCACGGCGTCGGTCTGGCATTTTGCGGCCTGGAGTTCCGCATGCAGGGCCTGCGCGTCTGTCAACTGACGAGCCTCGAGCTCACGACGCTCGTGGCACTCGGCGACGACCTGCTGCTTGGCAGCCTGTAGCTCCGAACTCAAGGCCTGCACCTGCTCCGCCAGTTGGCTGGCCTCCAGTTCCTGCTTGTGTCGCTCGGCGTCGATCTGGCGTCTTGCTTCCTGGAGTTCCGCATGCAGGGCCTGCAATTCCGCCAAGCGGCTGGCCTCCAGCCAGTCGCTCTCGGCGACGACCTGCTGCTTCGCAACCTGTGGCTGCGCACTCCGGCCCTGCACCTCCGCCAGCTGGCCAGCCTCCAGCTCGTGGCGCTCGGCGTCGAGCTGCACGGTGGCAGCCCGAGGCTCCGCACTCGGGGCCTGCACCTCCGAAGGCCGGTCGCACTCCGGCCCGCGCCCGTGCCGCTCGGTCTCCAGCTGCCGCCTGACGTCCTCCAGCTCCGCGTTCAAGGCCTGCACCTCCTCGGCCAGCCAGCCGGCCTCGAGCTCGTGGCGCTCGGCGCGCGGGCTGGCCCCTGGCTGCGAGGGGACGCTGGAGCGCCGGGCGCCCTGCACGAGGAGCCACAGCGGGGGGAGCCGAGCTCCTCACCCCCTCCCCGGGGGGACCCGTCGCATCGACGAGCCCTCGAGAGGGGTGCCGAAGCCGATGGGCCCCCGAGGGGGATGGGGGCCACAGCTCCCCCCGTTGCGGATGGTCTGCCTGCACCTGCGAGGTGGCCCTCGTCGCCCCGCTCTCGGGCCATCGTAGCTCGGGCCTCCGGCGACCGCTGGGGGACGATCCGGCCAACCCCGGAAGGCTCTCGGCCAGGCGCGGCTGCTGGAGTGCACCCCGAGGCAGGAAGCCTGCAGGCAGCCGACGAACACGCCCGACAACCCCGAGCACCGAGCACCGAGCCGAGCACCGAGACGCGGCGTATACACCGAGCCGATCACCGAGCTCCGAGTCGAGCGCCGAGTCGCGGCGAGCCTGTAGCACCAAGCCCGCAGCACCGAGCACTGGGACACTTCGGGCGCCGAGACGACCGAGCCGTGGACGCCCTTCTGCCCCGCCCGCGCCTGCGAGGTGCCCGCCCCGCGCGGCGCGCGCGCCCGCCGGGAGGGGCGCGCCCCCACGGCCTGCCAGTGGCTGCGCGCCTGCTCCAGCGCGCGGGGGGCGCTCGCTGATGCGCCGATTTTCCACCACCACCACCATAGGTAGGAGGAGGAGGAGGAGGAGGAGGAGGAGGAGGAGGAGGAGGAGGAGGAGAGGAGGAGGAGGAGGAGGTGGAGGTGGAGGAGGAGGAGGAGGGAGGAGGAGGAGAGGTGGAGGAGTGGAGCGGGATGAGGAGGATGAGGAGGGGGAGGATGGGGAGGAGGAGGAGGAGGAGGAGGAGGAGGAGGAGGAGGAGGAGGAGGAGGAGCTCCCCATCCTCCCTTCTTCCTTGTGGTACCTATGGTAGAGGTGGTGGAACATTGGCCCATCACTCGCGGGCTCGGCGGAGCCCCAGCCGCGACGGGGCGCGGCCGCGCCGCCCCCGACCTGCGCGGCGGACGCCGGCCCACTGAGCCTCCTCCTCCTCCTCCTCCTCCTCCTCCAAGCCTCCTCCTCGCTCCTCCTCACTCCTCCTCACTCCCTCCTCCTCCTCACTCCTCCTCACTCCTCCTCCTCCTCCTCCTCCTCCTCCTCCTCCTCTCCTCCTCCTCCTCCACTCCTCCTCCTCCTCCTCCTCCTCCTCCTCCTCCTCCTCCTCCTCCTCCTCCTCCTCCTCCTCCTCCCCCTCCTCCTGACGCTGGCCCACTGAGCTTCGTTCTACCGATCCCTGTCCCCAATCGCCCTGTTATCATGAAACAATCACGACGGAAAGCTTTTCGGCATGTTCGGCCTCTGGGGGCCATCACTGGGCCTCGGGACCGTCATATAACGCCTGGGGATGAAAAACTGGTCCCCGGGAATGGGTCGAAACCTCGGAGGGTCGACGTTTTATCAAAGAATCAAGACGTCAGGGGTCTTGGTCTCCACTGGAGCGCCTTTGGCCTTCCAGCCGATTTGCTCACTCAAGTGGAGATACAGTGCAGACCCATGCCAAGAAACACCCTGCTTGCCACCAGGGTGCCCTGGGCTTCTTGGGTTTCGATGGGCTTGCTATGGAGAGCGTGGCGTTCCCACACCAAGAATCAATGGACGTCCTGGGGTCTCATGGTTGGTTTCCTTGTGGAAGGTTTCTTGTGGTTGAGCTCCTCCAGTAGATGTTCTGTGCTTGCTCCTTCGGATTTCGCGGGGCCCGCCCCCACCCCGGGGGGGGGGGGGCGGGGAGGGGGGGCGGGCTGGTGGGGCCAGGATACCATGGCCCCGTGGGGAGAGGGACCCTGACCTTCTGGAGAGCTGAAAAATACCACTCCAGACCTATAGACCTATCTGGACTGCTGTGAGGACTCCAGCGTTGGCCTCCTGGGAGGACGCCCGCGCGGCACACCTACACCGATCCTGGCCCGGCTCCTCCTGGGCCCAGGACCGCCCAAGACCGGTACAGTCAAAGACCCTAATAAGGACGCGCGGTAAGGACGCAAGACCCTTGGGAGCCGAAGTTGGGATTTTTGGGGCGGCGGACGACGAGATCCTCAGGGACGCAAGAGCAAGGAAGAGCAAGGACGCAAGGGTACCCTGAGCAAAGTCGCGCGTCCTTATTAGGGCTTCTGACTGTATGCCGAGACACCCTCCTGCCCCGAAGATCTCCGGCACCGCGTGGAGGCCGCTCTCCGCCTCGGGCGACTGGCGGCACCGCGATCGCCAGAGCGCTCTCCGCCCTGGCCGATGAAAGGGGCCCCCGGCGGCGCTCGGCCCCGAGCGCCCCCGCAGCGCCAGGGGAGGCAGCGCGGGGTGGCAGCCTTCCAAGAGACTGCGGGGGAGCTCCCATAGTGACGGACGGACAACACGCACCCATACCCCTAGGGGGGTCGTTGGGAGGAGGACTGGCTACGGGTATGGGTGCGGGGTGGTCGGACCCTGGGGAACGCTCTCCCGTTCGAGCGGGGAGCCCCCTGCGATCCCCCTATGGGTATGGGTGTGCGTTGTT